GCAACCTCTGCTCTGAGCTGATCCATGGTCACCCACAAAAAGCAAAAATAAGTTGAAGGGGTGGCTGGAGTCAAAATGTGATGACCCGTAGTCTCTCAAAATAACCCAAAACCCAAAACATACATTAAAGTCCAGTAAGGCCTTCAACTTAACTTCACTGTTTTATTAGGCAGTTTAAAGTCACAAAAGTAAATAATGAGGCAAAGAGAAAACCAAAACAAACCGCATTGACGAGAGTTCCGAAGCAAGCCAAGATAACTAATTATAAATTCCAGGAAAATAACTGAGGAGAGTCCATGGGAAGAACGCCAGCAAAGGTAAACCTCTTTCAAAATAAACACTACATTGACTCCAGCAATTCTGACTGCGCAGTTACAAACTTATATACATAGCTCCCACCTGCAAGCTACGAGGAGGATCATGGTAATCTCGTCCTGAGTAGACCTCGCTTTTCCCTGATCCTCTCCTCCCTGTGTGACCTAGGATGGATAGGGGATGGACCTGGATCCACCTCTGACTGCCCAGCCGGCCTCTGCCCTTCCCCAGCCTCCTCCACCACCTCTGGAGCCACACTCCCACTCCCTGTTGGCTGTTCCTCCTCTTCCTCAGAGTCAGTCTCCACCAGGGGCATGACGCAACTAGGTAGCATCTAGGTATAAACAGAGAGCAAACCTCACTATAGAAATGGCTCACTTAACAACATAAATTTGAGGCTCAATTGTGGTCATAAGTTGAGGGCTATCTGTATAGGATCCTTTCATCTCTGAAGAAAAAGTGTGATATAAATCTAATAAACCGCAGTGCTTACAGTGGTTAGAGTGCAGTACTGCAGGCTACCTCTGCTGCCTGCCGGCTGCCTGCAATTTGGCAGTTCAAATCTCACAAGGCTCAAGGTTGACTCAGCCTTCCATCCTTCTGAGGTGGGTAAAACGAGGACACAGATTGTTGGGGGCAAGAGGCTGACTCTGTAAACCACTTAGAGAGGGCTGTAAAGCACTGTAAAGCCGTATATAAGTCTAAGTGCAATTGCTAAGTGCTAATAAGCAGCAAATGTTGTGTTTCTGGCCACAGTGATGAGCCGCTGAAGAAAAGGGTGGAACTCTGATTTATCCTAAAACAGAGAGGTGTAATTTATTTCACTCATAGTGAATGGGGTTGGAGTTTTTTTCCCTCTTCCTGGTGAGGTTGTGCAATACCAAAGCCTACGTGTGTTTGAATCTGAAAAGTGATTTGAGTGTTGAGCTGTCCCCAGCTTCCTCAAATCTTTTCAGTCCATTACAACATCCCCAAACTTAATTCTCGGTACATTTTGTGCTCTGGTGCAAATAAACATACGTCTGCTATTCTCTGGGTTTTGCTTCCAGATCCCGTGAATGCATCATCATAAACCGGGATAAAATCATAATCACATGCCCACCATTAGTCCTGTCGTACCGATAAATAAAAAGAAACAGAGCCATTTAAAAACTTTCAAAAAGTCGAAGTTCGTGGAAAGCAGCCTCTGTGTAACCTCAAAAAGTAGTGGAAAGGTTTTAATTTGCAAATGCTACCTCATCAGCTTACTGTCTCCACCTTTATTAACAAATTTATACAACTGGCTCATCCAAACTTTTCCATGCTTATAGGAAGCAACCTGAGCTGGATTTTTTTTTTCCTTTTAGCCACCAAAAATTGGACACTGAGAACTGAATTGATTATTGACTGCTCTTGTTTGTTCTTCAAATTCATGTTTATTATTAGTGCAGCGAGGTTCAGCCTATGCACAGAGTTATTTCATTGCTATTTCAGAGACTAAATATGAATTACCTTTTTTTTAAAAAAAGCCTCTTTTAACCACTGTGGAAATATGGAATATGTATGTGTTAATCTGGACCAAGTCCGGGATGTTCTCTTGCAAACCTTGTCTAGACGAGGGATAAAGAGTTAGGATTTTAAACACGACGTACAAACTGTTTAAAACACGCTCCCTTTCTTTGCGGCAAGTAGTAACTTTATTTACAGTCTGTTTGGGGAAAATGGACTGACCGTTTTGTCTGTTCGCAGCATTTATGTAGCATTTGTGGGCATTTTCTAAGTAGGCCTCGGGGGAAAAAATATGCTCCGCGTGTAAATATTTTAAGCTCACCCCAAGTGTTTATGTAACTTAATTTTTCTCAATGGCCAGAGAATCTTTTTCCCAACAGCTTTTGAGTTTTGTGTATCAAATAGCATAACAACCTTCACCATGCCAGGAAAAATGACTTTAGAAATAGAAAACCATTTTTTTAAAAAAATGTTGACCATTGTTTATTTCGCCTAAAGAGGCAGATGGAGGATTCAGCAACATAAATCCTGTTAAAAGTGACCTTGAAAGTGACCACCTCCCTGCCCAGGATGGGAAACCTCAGATCACCCAAGAGAAATGGCACAACTTCTGTTTGAAAATTCTCCAGGAGAATTTTCTGGAATTATGCTGGAATATATATGGCTATCATGTCTACCTCTATCTTCTTCTATGTTCTGCTTTTCTTTCTTTTTTTCTTTCTCATTCTCTCTTTCCTTCCTTCTTTTTCTTTCTCTTTCTTTTTTCTTTCTATCTATCTATCTATCTTCCTTCCTTCCTTCCTTCCTTCCTTCCTTCCTTCCTTCCTTCCTTCCTTCCTTCCTTCTGCTTCCTTCCCCATCCAGCCATCTCACTGTTTTATACCAAGCATATATTTTTCATTAAAAGGATGCTTTAGATCAGTTTTTTTTTCAAACTTGACAATTTTAACTATGGGTGGACTTCCAGAATTCCTCAATCTCTTTCTATAACAATGAGGTCTAGACACCAAAGAGGAAAAAATAAATTCCAAAAATGTGGATTGTAGAAAGCAAAGTAATATGACTTTGGCAGGTCCATATTGGTATTTCTCAGTTTCCTGACTGGCAAATTAACAATTATTAAAGGACCACATAAAAAAGTGAAAATGGCAGCTGGAGCCCACAAAAAAAAAAATAGATGGTTGTGAAGCCATACGGTTACAGCCACTGCTTGCTTCCAGTTGACAATGGTGGGTCAAATTATCTCTTTTAAGGTATAATTGGTTTAAAAGCTGGCTGAATGACTTTGGTACAATCTCACCAGGAGACGGTGAGTTCTAGTTCTGCCTTGGGCATGAAAGCCAGCTGGGTGACTTTGGGCCAGTCCCTCTCTCTCAGCCCAACCCACCTCACAGGGTTGTTGTCCTGGGGAAAATAGGGGGAGGAAGGAATATTTGGTATATTCACTCTCCTTGAGTTATTTATAAAAACAATAAAGGCAGGGTATCAATAAAATAAATAAATGTTGTAAACTATTCATGTCAAATCTAACCCCCAAATATAGCAATTGTTAATTTTTCAGCTAGGATCCTTTGCTCTTCAGACATTAGAGATTGGACCACCATTTTGTCTGAAATGATATAGGGTTTCCTGTTTGAGCAAGGGGTTGGACTAGAAGACCTCCAAGGACCCTTCCAACTCTTGTTTTTCTGTTAGAAAAGCAGCCATTTTGTTCTTTTCTTTCTGTTCCTCTTCATCTCAACAGCATTCATAGCAAATAAATGCCAGGTTTATTCTCTCCCCCCCTCCCCACTCCGGGGGAGGGGGTTTCAGACACACTGTTCACCAGAGATCCATTTTTGGAGACTGACTCACTGGACCAAAACACTTGTTGATGGGGGAGGGCAAGAGGTGGAGGATATTTGATAAATGGCTATAAAATGGCTGGCTGTGGTTTCTGTGCATTTCTTATGGAAGACGTCGGTCGAGCTGTTTCTAATCTGGACTTTCAGGGAAAAAAAACAACAGAGTTGTGGGCAAGACCTTACTTCATCTGGAACAGCGTCTAGCTGAGAGGTCTCTCTCTTTTTTAAAAAAACAAAACAAAACCAAAATCATGGGCTGTCACACCAACATTTCTTAAGCAGAACTGTCAAAAAACATGAGAAAGGTATTCAGAAAATGGGTTAAAAACCTAGACCAACATACTCAGAGGTTCAGAAGTTCTCAAACTTGTGATCTGAGGGAGCTGTGGATGGTTTGAGGGCTCCGGCCCTGTGGTGATTATGGAAAACTCGCCACTATGTGGTCTTGCTTCATTTCTTTTCAATTGAAATACTGTGATGAATTCTGTCCAGATTTTCAACCAGGCTAAGAAAGCTGTGGTTTTAATAAGACCCTGGCTGGTTTAGACCAATGTTTCTCAAGTTTGGGCAAATTTAAGATATGTGGACTTCAATTCCCAGAATCCCCCAGCCAGCAAGGTTCAAATCATGAGCATATTTAGGGCAACATTCATTTACTGAGTCACAAGCAGCATAGAATATTCTGCAGAAGATTGCCACTAACCATGGAGGTTTTATTTACTGGGCTTCCTAACCACTAGTCCTTGATGGTCCTGTCGTGTTTCTTGAGCCTGTCTCATTCCCAGAATAATTTTAAGAAGAGATTGGACAATTTATTTGTCTGAAATGGCATAGGGTTTCGTGCTTGAGTAGGGGATTGGACTAGAAGACCTCTAAAGTCCCTTCCAACTGTATTCTGTCAAGGTAATCCTCAACTTACAACCCTTCACTTAGTGACGGTTTGAAGTTACAACAAAAGTGGCTTATGACCATTTTTCACACTTACGGCATACCCACAGTCATGTGACCAAAAGTTGGACACTTGGCAACTGATTCATATTTATGACAGTGTCCCGTAGTCCTGCGATCCCCTTTTGCGACCTCTGACGAGCAAAGTCAGTGGGGAAGGACCGATTCACTTAACAACCATGTGACTCACTTAACAACTGCAGTGATCCATTTAACAAATGGTGGCAAGTAAGGTTGTAAAATGGGGTGAAACTCGCTTAACAACTGTCTTGCTTAGCAACGGAATTTTTTTTGGGGGGGGTCATTTGCAGTCGTGATTCGAGGGCTACCCGTATTTACGACAGCCGTTCCTGGAACGTTGTATGTGGAGGTGTATGCTAATCCCGCTTCTCTTTCTCCTCCCAGATTCCCAACCCTCTCTTCGACTTGGCCGGGATAACATGTGGACATTTCCTGGTTCCCTTTTGGACCTTTTTTGGAGCCACCTTGATTGGAAAAGCCATCATCAAAATGCACATCCAGGTAATTTACCTACCAAGATCAAAGCTTTCTACCTTCTTGTCAAGGTGGACTAAAACAATTGCGTTCACTTCTGCCGCTTTTGGCTGTGGAGATACTCCATCCATCTGGGTCATGGTTGTCCCAAAGATGCTTTTTCAAAAGGCAACTGGGCTTTCTTTTTTTTTAGAATAGGATTCTCTTTCTCTTTTCACTTCTCCTCCCAAAAGCTGCTGCTTTTTTTCTTCTAAGAGCCAGTCACTTTCCCTCAGCCTTGGGAAGCAGGCAATGGCCAACCAGTTTTGAAAAACCTTGCCAAGAAAACAACAGGGAATGATCTAGGCCAGGGGCGCCAAACTCGATTTCATTGAGGGCCGCATCAGGGTTGTGTTTGACCTCGGGGGGGCTGGTGGGGGCATGGCCAGCTCGACATCACTCGTGTCGGGGGCACCTGTGATGGCCAAGTGCTAAGGCAAGACTTCCCTCAGACCCTCCTTCCCTCTCATAATCTTCCTCCCTCCTCTTCTTTTTCCTTCCCTCTTCCTTCTCCTTCTTCTTCCTTCCCCTTTTTCCTTACTTTTCCTTCCTTGCTCTCTTCTCATCTTCCCTTCTTTGTCTTTGCCTTTCCTCTTTTCCTTTCTCCTTTCCTGTCCTTTCTTGCATGCTCAAATGCAAAAGGGAAAACATTTATCTTCTTGTTTTGTTTTTAGTTTGTTTCGCTAACCCGCTGACAGGGAAAACGGAGGTCGGGCGGGGGGGGCACATGGGGCCTCTCCGGGCCCCGTTTTTTGGTCAGGACAGCGTCCAGCAACCCTCTGCCGGTGAAAACAGAGCTTGTGGGGTTGGGGGAGTCGGCGCACACAACTCTCCGGTGCTTTGTTTTTGCTGGAAGAGGCACCGCGGACCGGTCCTTGGCTATTTCCAGGGCGCCCCGTGGGCCAGATCTAAGCACCCCATGAGTCAGATCTGGCCCCCGGTCCTTGAGTTTGACACCCCTGATCTAGGCAGTCACCAGGCATTAGAATGGAAGAAGCTTCTTGCATGAGAAACAAAACATATTCGAAGAAAAAAACAAAACGAAGAAAGCCCAATCGCCTTTTGGAAAAAGCGCCTTGGAACATCCACCCTTCTTGCTTCCCAGGAATTGCCTTCTTCTTAGCAAGCTTCAGGGCCGCCATAAGCCCATCTAACACCCATTGCTTTGTTCCTTGGTGAGCATATTATCACCAAACATCCATTGGAATATGTCCGTGTTATCATAGCAAGGCTTCCTCCCTCCTGAGTGAGCGTCATAGCTGAATGCAGGTAGTCCTCAACTTACGTCCATCATTGATCCTGGAATTATGATTATACATTGTGCTGTTGTTAAGCAGGTCACCACCCGAGATGCCCGATTTTACAACCTTTTTTGTGTCGGTTGTTAAATGAATGTCTGGTTTAACAAAAAGAAGGACTAGGGGTGACAGGATAGCAGTCTTCCAATATCTGAGGGGCTGCCCCAGAGAAGAGGGGGGCAGGCTATTCTCCAAAGCACCTGTAGGCAGGGCGAGAAGCAACGGATGGAAACTCATCAAGGAGAGAAGCAACCTAGAACTAAGGAGGAATTTCCGATTAATTAACTAGTGGAACAAATTACCTCTAGAAATTGTGGGTGCTCCTTCACTAGAGGTTTTTAAGAAGGGATTGGGCAACCATTTGTCTGAAATAGTTTAGGATTTCCTGCCTGAGGTTGGACTAAAAGACCTCCAAGTTCCCTTGAAACTCTGTTATTCGGAATCTCTGTGGTTGTTAAGCAAACCCCATGGTCATTAAGCAAATCAGTTGTCTGCAATGGGCATTCCCATATCTTCCACCAGTAGATTTTTTTTTTTTTTCGAATTATCACAGGTTCTTCCCCAAACTTGGAAATCTCGTTTCTTCAAATTTGGGCTGGACTCCTTCTGCAAAAGCCTCTCAGATATGCATAGCTGGCGATTATATTGGCGTATTATCTCTTAATCATCCCTTCTGCAGACTAAACATAGCCAGCTCCTTTGCAAGGAAACAGGCCTATTCTGTATACATTACCTGGGGAACATATCTTCAGAATTTAGGCGAGCTAACTTTGTGGGTAAGCAGACGAAAAAGAAATCTCAGCCATTCGTTGTCCAAACTTTGCTGGCTGGAAGAATTTGTTTAATCGGCAAGTGGTTGAAAGAAGGTGAAAAAAAGAAAGAAAGAAAGAAAGAAAATGTTTATTTTTAGATTCTCTACACATGGCTCATCGCAGCTTTAATCTCGGAAGAGGCATTTAGCCTTGCCCTCTCTTACTATGACTTGTAAGATCGGAGGAGCCAACCCGGCCAACCTTTATGACCTGTGGATTTCAATTCCCAGAATTCCTGAGCCAGCATAGAAGGTTGCAAAAAGGGGATAAGCTGACCCCGGGACACTGCAACCATCATAAATATGAGTCAGTTGGCAAGGGTCTGGAGTTTGATCACGTGACCACGATGGGGATGTCGCAGTGGTCGTAAGTGTGAAAAACCTAGGTCACTTTTTTCAGTGCCGTTGTAACTTCGGTTACTAAAATGGACCATTGCACGTCTAGGATGGCCTGTCTTTTTATGATGTTGGAGGGGGACATGCATGTTTAGGAAATTAGCTCCCCATTCACTCTGGGCTTGATTTTGGGGTGCACGCTAAAAAGCCAAGTGATTGTAACATAAAAGGGGAGATTTTATAGTAGCTGCTTTCTGTTTGGCCCCAGGAGCGAGGGATTTGGTTTTTGAACCTCCTACAGCTGGCTAAATTCGCCCAAATCCTCAAAACACACACACACGCTTGCAAAGATGCAGAGCGTGAACGTTTGGGACGCCATAGCACAATGTTCTTGAAAAAAAAGAGACACGCAGTTCCAGATTGGCTGAAAAATGGGAAACAAAGCCTTGGAATTATATGACAAATACACAATTTAACCAATGTTGACTAGTCTGGGAACCTTCCCCCACTGTACCGCAAGTGGTATACATCACAATAAATGACAGTTTAAAACAGCAACAACTCTTAGAACAGTTTGTCTTCCAAGAGTTATCTCAGCAAAGCTGAACATTTCTGTCTGCTTATCCTCGGGGAATGCTATATATATCGTACCCTTTCTCCAACCTGGCGCCCTCCAGATATGTCAGCCTGCAACTTCGAGAATTCCCCCAAATTAGCAAACTGTTGGGGGAAGTTAAAGCCCAGAGAGAAACCAGGTTGGAGAGGAGGGTTATTTCAATTTTTACCATGCAGATAGTCCTCGACTTACATCAGTTCATTTAGTAATCATTCACGGTTGCAACGACATTGGACCAAGTCACTTTTGATCGTTTTTCACGCTTACGACCATTGCAGCGTTCCCGTGGTGACGTGATCAAAATTCAGGTGCTTGGCAACTGACTCATATTTATGACGGTTGCAGTGTCCCAGGGGAGTAAGCGTCCACCTTTTGTGACCTTTTGACAAGCAAGGCCAATGGGGAAGCCACATTCACCTAACAACCATGCCCCTAACTTAACAACTGCAGTGATTCGCTTCACAACTGTGGCAAGAAAGGTCACAAAATGGGACAAAACTCAGTTAACTAATGTCTCACTTAGCAACAGAAATGTTGGTCTCAGTTGCGGTGGTAAGTCAAGGACTACCTGTATTTCAATTTACCATGTAGGGGTTTTCTTGTAACATAGAGGTTAATTTAACTAAGAGGCAATTTGGTCTAGTGGTTAAAGTAAGGAGGCTAGGAGTTCATTTCCCTGCCTTAGCCATGAAAGCCATCTGGATGAGTTTGGGCCAGATACCAGGAGACTGTGAGTTCTAGTTCTGCTTTAGGCATGAAAACTGGCTGGGTGTCTTTGGGCCGATCACCAGGAGACAGTGAGTTCTAGTTCTGCCTTAGGCATGAAAGCTGGCTGGGTGTCTTTGGGCCGATCACCAGGAGACAGTGA